TAAAAAATCATATAAATAAACTGTTAGACCAAAATATTATCAAACATAGTCACAGTCCCTGGAGCGCTCCCGTGTTTCTAGTATCAAAAAAGATGGATGCATCAAACAAAAAGAAGTGGAGATTAGTGGTAGATTACAGAAAATTAAACGAAAAAACTGTTAAAGACAAATACCCAATGCCTAACATTAATGAAGTTTTAGATAAGATCGGTAGAGCAAAATATTTTACGGCACTAGATCTAGCTAGCGGGTACCATCAAGTGGAAATGGAACCTACAGATACGATAAAAACCGCTTTCTCAGCAGAAGGCGGACATTTCGAATTCATTCGTATGCCATTCGGCTTGACTAACGCCCCAGCCACGTTCCAAAGAGTAATGGATAATGTCCTAGCAGATCTAAATGGAAAATGCTGTCTGGTTTATCTAGACGATATAATAGTTTTTTCACCTTCGTTACAGGAACATAATACACACTTAGGGCAGATATTCGAAAAATTATCCAAAGCCGGGTTTAAACTCCAACCAAATAAGTCCGAGTTCTTTAAAAAAGATATAGAATATCTGGGACACATTGTTTCGAATGAAGGTGTTAAACCCAACCCAAAAAAAATCGAAACCATAAAAGCATTTCCAATGCCAAAAACAAGAAAGGAAATAAAGTCATTTCTTGGCCTACTGGGTTATTACAGAAAATTTATTCAGGACTTTGCGAAGATAACAAAACCACTGACCCAAAAATTAAAAGGAAAAGCAGCAGTAAAAATCGATGAGGAATATGAAAGAGCTTTCAAAAAATGTAAGACCTTGCTATGCAATGACCCAATCCTGCGTTACCCAGATTTCACTAAACCATTTATATTGACTACGGATGCTAGTAACGTAGCCATTGGTGCCGTATTGTCACAGGGTGGCATAGGATCAGATAGACCGGTGTCTTTTGCTAGCAGGACCTTGTCAGATACTGAATTAAATTATTCCACGGTAGAAAAGGAAATGCTAGCTATAATATGGGCTACTAAATACTTCAGACCATATCTTTTCGGCCAAAAGTTTACTATAAGGACGGATCATAGACCATTAACATGGTTAATGAATTTTAAAGAACCAAACTCGAAATTAGTTCGTTGGAAACTAAAACTTCTAGAATACGATTATGAAATAGAATATACGAAAGGGTCACAAAACACAGTCGCCGACGCATTAAGTCGTGTATCAATAGACATTAATATGCATAGATCAGATACAGCAAAAAAATTAAACGAAATAAAAGTATCTGATAGCCCATTGAACGAGTTCAACATCCAAATAATTTTTAAGACTGATCAAAATTCAAAAGTAGAATTTGTGACACCTTTTAAAAACAAAATACGAAGAATATTTACAGAACAAAATTATACCATAGAAAAATTTGTAAAGATATTAAAAGACATTTTAAAAGCTAACAGAATTTACGCAATATTAGTTTCTGATATGGAATTTGAGTTAATTAAAGAAGCATATACAAAATATTTCGCAAGTACAGATTTGTATAAATTAGTTCGATGTAAATATATGCTGAAAGATATAAGTTCAACTGAGGAACAAGAATTAGAAATAAAGAAATATCACACAAATTCTAATCACAGAGGCATTGAAGAAACATATAATCATATTAAAAGAACAATTTATTTCCCGCAAATGAAACAAAAAATCTCACAAATAATTAATAATTGTGAGCTTTGTCAAACACTCAAATACGACAGAAGACCTCAAAAAATCAAATATCAGGAAACTGAATCGCCTCCATACCCGTTAGCAATAGTTCACATTGACCTTTATTTTATTAACGGAAAAATTATGTTAACAGTAATAGATAAATTTTCAAAGTTTGCTACTGGATACACTATACCTGCCAGGGACTGTCCAAATGTAACAAGAGCACTTAGGAATTTTCTTACTACACACGGAATTCCAGAAAAACTTCTCTGTGACCAAGGTGCAGAATTTTCTGGAAAAATCTTTAGGGATTTCTGTGACCAATATAATATACAGCTTCATGTTAATTCATTTCAACAATCATCGAGTAATTCTCCAGTAGAGAGACTACATTCCTCATTAACAGAAATTTATAGGATTATTTTAGCCAACAAGAAAAACAAGAAGCTAACTATAGATCATGAAGATATACTTAATGAAACGTTTATTACCTATAATAATGCGATTCACTCAGCAACAAAAATGACACCATACGAATTATTTACCGGACGGACACATACATTCAACAGGGAAATTAAATTCAATAACGAACACGAATTCCTTAGCGAACTAAATGAATTTAGGGAAAAACTTTACAATAAGGTCCAGCAGGATAATCAGACAAAAAAAAATAATAGAACACAGAAACTAAATAATGAAAGGAATGAACCGATACCGACACAAGAAAATGACATAATTTTCAGGAAAGAAAACCGAAGAAACAAATTGACTCCCAGATTTACCAAACACTTAGTATTAGAAGACAAAGGACCGACATTAATAACGAATAAAAAACAAAAATTACACAAATCAAAAGTTAAACGATTGAACAAAAAAAAAAATAATACATAATCATATAAACATACAAAACATATACAGAATTATTACACAGAAGATCGATGTAAACATACACTTACTAACCCATATCATATTAGGTTCCCTGAACATTAATGAATTCTTACATTTAAACATTAAACTAACCAAATAAATATTATTAATTAAAAATATATATTTATCTATTTATATATTCATATTGGTCTCGACACTATCACATTGGGAGAATCGCTAATCATAATCTTCAAAAGAAACAACATCGTATTGAAACTAAAGGAAAGTTCAAGTTTTCGTTCCGACCATTCGTTCCCTCTGGCCGTCTCTTCAATCCAGGGGGGAGGAGTTACATGCTACACTCTTCCCGAGATGTCTCCAGCCAATACCTTCTAAGCTAATGTCCAACGAGGACACTATAAGAAGACCCCACTGTAAAGTTGTTGGCTAGAGTTGCCTAAACAATTGACTAGAGTTGCCTAAACAATAGACATACATAAAGCCAAAACGGAGACACCGATGACATAAGAAGGAATGGAGAAAAGGAGAGAGAGAAGAAGAAAAAGGAAGAAGTCCAGGTGTTCAACTTCTGACATTCATTCGATTGTCGACAGCAGAACGGACCAGAGACTAATAAAAGAGTCTCCACAAAAAAAGTCAAAAATTTAAAAATTAAAAAAAAAAAACCAAGTTACAAATTGTTGCTGTTTCTTTGAAAAAACCATCCAATTACATAACTCTCCTTTTCTAATTGACATTTCGGACATGTCTACAATCAGTCCCAGACGGATCGCAGGCTTCATAAGGGCATCCGGATGGGATAATGGATAACATAGGGTCTCACGAGGAAGAAGGGAACGTAATATGCGGTATCACAACGGGCCGAAACCGGCCTAGGTGTGTCGCGTCTCTGACAATCCCGACAGCCGCTTCAACCTAACCTAACCTACTACGAAATTAGGGTTAAATAAAAGGGACGTGCGCTCGATGTCAAGGTTCTTTTTCGATCTAATTTTCTCTTTATGTTATAATATCTTATTAAGCTAAGAGCGAGAGAGAGCTTTATCGCTGCCAAAACATTCGCCTGGCTAACGAGACAAGACGCCATCGCCTTAAGCAACTTAAACCCTCCTGGTCGGGGGTGCTGGGGGTGCGATGAGCGGTCAGCAGGTTCCCGGGAGTCAGCGCGTCTCCGTCGCTTGGGACTGGGCCTAGCGGGCGCGAGTTGAGCACATACTCGATTCCGACCATTACGGTCTCCAGCTCCTCGGCGGTGAGGAGACGCTTCCGACCGACCTCAGCAGGAGGTTTTTGTCCGACTTCACTCCGGCATCCCAGAGTCCGCCCATGTGCGGTGGTCGAGGCTGCAGGAAGGGAAACTCGCACCCGATTTTTGCCGCAAACTCGCGGATGGCGTCCGGTTTTGCCCCGATCCTCGTCCGACAAAATTTGTCGCGTTGTCGCAGTTCACTTTTGTTGGACATCATCGATGACCAACGAACCTTTGAAAAGCTAAAAAGGAGTAAGTGGTCAGATCGAAGACAATTTATAGATGAACCGCTTTGGACGCAAAACAGACAAATAACAGACAAACAAATTTGGCAATTGGCATTTAAAGCAGCGAATACACGACCTGACTATCGCCGGCAAACCTCCTGTCCTCCTATCCAAACACGCTGCCTAAAGATGCTCTCAAGTGTTCGTGGGCCGGCATGAAAATTCGTTTGATGCAGTTAGCGAACATACATTATTGGTCTGCACAAACTGCGAGCGTTTTGTCAACAGCGGAAACTTGGCATTGTACGACATAGGAGCATTAAGTAGACGCCCCCCAACTCGCAACAACGAAAAAGAGTACCAAGTCTCCATTTCTTCGTTGATAAAGAGATTTAAACTCTGAAGACTGGGGTCTAATATGGTGCTTTTACGAACCCTTTCAATATCTTCTTAATGCTCGTTTTTATGGATCAACTCGACAATATTTTTTAACAGATAAAACATTCCCAGAATGTGAAAGTATGTGTACGGTTTCCATAGCTGATACTTTCTAGCCAAAATCCCGGTATCGTACTCTTATTCCATGTAATAAGAAAAAAAGAAGAATTGTAAGGATGTGCAATGTAATTCGTAAATGTCAATGTCGCAATGCCATTCGTAAAACGTGAAAGGTAATGCGACGCAGGCGGGAATTTTTTTTGTATTATGAACGACGAGGAGGATAAAAGGTGAATTTAGCTGTGAAAACCGCGAAACAGACATTTTACAACCCGAGCATCTTTCGACGAAACTTTGAAATTCTATTAAAAAAGAACCATATCCAACCGCCAAATAATTTCTGCACCTAAATTCAAACTTTGATATGCACGCACATTTAAAATTTTTATACAAATGCTCAACAATTTTTAATAGTTTTAAAAGATAACTATTATATTGTCCCCGTATTTATTTCGACCAGGTATAGTTTAAGGGGTCAAGGATTTTTCGTTTTTTACTGCACACTGCAAAGACTTACACTTCTTAGAAGGGATCAATATTTTGAGCCCCTAGGATAGTTATTTTATTTTTACATACGATTTATATTTAAGTCATCCATACATTTTATTATATGTTCATATTTTGGTTTGTAATTTATTTAAATGTAGGTTTCGAACGATTGTTGTGATGAACTCAATCTCAAGACTTTAATATCTCTACGAGAAGATGAAACTAATGCTTAAGATCACAACCGATTCAAATATTTTTTAAATTCTCATAAAGAACGTCGTAATAAGATGATGGTAAGGATATGAAGGTAAATGCGTAAAAAAATAATATAAATTCCATTTTTTATTTTTAAAGCATATCAAAAACACACCATTAACCCTGGCTTTCCTTTAGAACAAATACCGTTTGGACCGTAATAAATTTAAGCCAATTTTTAAATTTAGTGTTAAGGCTTAAAAAAAGGTAGCCGATGTGTTCGGCCTCTAAGAAATTTATATATTATGTAAGATAAATAGAAAACGCCAAGTAAGAGTGAATTATTAAAATTATATGTCATATTGCTATATTTATTACAACTAATTGTTTTAGTATTTATTATATCTTAGTTATGCGGAAAAAACTGAGGTTAGGTTAAATTAAGTCGCCTGCCAGGTTCACTGGTAACGAAATTGGAGAAGTATTGTGTGTTATTAGTACGCCAAGTAAGAGTGAATTACTAAAATTATATGCTATATTGCTATATTTATTACAACTAACTGTTGTATTTGTATTTATTATATCTTAGTTATGGGGAAAAAACTGAGGTTAGGTTAAATTAAATCGCCTGCCAGATTCACTGGTAACGAAATTGGAGAAGTATTGTGTGTTATTAGTACGGAATAGGACGGCTACGAAGTTTAGGCTGCTGCCTTCATTATCGTTCCGCCTCCCCAACCTGAAAAGATAATCCGCTCGGCCCGCTTCTTAGCACAATTAAATAAGCTCCGTTGTGATACCGTTAGATCTACGTAGTCGTTTTCCTTTTTAAAGAATTATGTTTATTTTCTGTCAACTTTTTTTAAGAATTTATGGTCTTGTGTTTTTTTAAAGCTTTTTTCTTTCATTTGGTTGTTCTGAACTTTGCCATTCTGAAAACCTAAGAAATTCAGCTATACAAACCCAAGCACTTAGTGATCTCAGCTTGCCGTTTGGGAAATATTAAGGCTTCAAATGCAAAAATTCTGATTTTGTGCGGTATTTTTTACGAAATTTTGACTTTAAAAACTCAGGAAATTTAATTTTTAATTTAAGGTGAAAATATGTATATTATTTTTGTCCGAGAGTATTCCCAAAACATTCTCGATTGGGTTTAAAACGGGACAACATGCAGGCCAAGATACATTTTTCGTTCCTCAAAGAACTGCTTTGTCGCTTTGGATACGTGGATTGAAAAATCCACTTTTCCTCCCAGTTTTTTTCGCTTAACGGTAATACTGTAAGAGACAAAATTGAACGTTTCTGCAAATAGCTTACGAGCGTTTTTATGCCTTGGTAGCAGCATAGGTTTGCGTACCATTTTTCCATATTTAATCCAAACTTAATATTTGCTCAATACTACGGGGGCTGAACTTAAGAGACAGTTTAGCCGTTATATTCCATCAACTACTAGTCGCTGTATTTTAAGCCAAATTCTTTATTTGTTGTTTTGTTTTTAAACATTTTTTGAACAGTATTCTAATTTCCCCAATATTGGATATTTCGCAAATACTTTTGTACGCAGATTAAGGATAATATTGGCATATTCTCCGACAACTTTACTCCATTCGCCTTTTTCATAAAATTATGACTGTATAACTGACCTTAATTTACGAAAAACTTTAATAAACAGATAATTAGCTCAACTTTCTTGATGCTGTACCAATAATAATATCCTACTTGGAAAAAACACATTTCACTTATAAAATTCGGTAAATGTTCGATTTATAAAGAAATTACGTGCAGAAATTATTTAGCGATCGGTCGTTTTGTTTTAAATTAAATTTCAAAGCTTAATTTTTGCCCATACAAAATGTAAACATAATCAGATGTGCTTTTGAAAAAAATGTAAAAGTTTGCACACTTTTTTATATGAGTTTTGACATTTAAGTCTAAGTTTCGTCGAAAGATGTTTATTTGTATATTATGGAAAGTGGCACGCGTTGTAAAATGTCTGTTTCGCGGGTTTTATCGGTAAATTCAGCCGACATTTCTAAATTTTTGATCGAACTACAGCTTTAGAATAGAATAGTAGAATAGTTTTTCTAAATTTAATAAACAACGAAAACTGAGTTTGGTGGCTACAAATGAATATATGTTTATTACTACGAAATTAGGGTTAAATAAAAGGGACGTGCGCTCGATGTCAAGGTTCTTTTTCGACCTATTTTTCTCTATGTTATAATATCTTATTAAACCAAGAGCGAGAGAGAGCTTTATCGCTGCCAAAACATTCGCCTGGCTAACGAGACAAGACGCCATCGCCTTAAGCAACTAAAACCCTCCTGGTCGGGGGTGCTGGGGGTGCGATGAGCGGTCAGCAGGTTACCGGGAGTCAGCGCGTCTCCGTCGCTTGGGACTGGGCCTAGCGGGCGCGAGTTGAGCACATACTCGATTCCGACCATCACGGTCTCCAGCTCCTCGGCGGTGAGGAGACGCTTCCGACCGACTCCACTACCATAAACTGTTTTCTTAATAACTTTTTTGAACATATGTATTGTAACGAACCATGGATCCCATGGTTCGTCACAAGCAGATGAAGCAGCCAACGCTACTCCCAGGTGAAGCGATCAACACCCAGCAAAAATGCAAACTCAGCACACGCCAAAACACAGGAGACCAGCAGAAGGGGCTTACGCAATAAGTACCTAAAATAATATTAAATAAATAAATAAATAAATATCCTAACAATATATATTCCCGAAGTGCCAACGAAATTCCTTTCCCACGGTACTGGTGCACACCGATCACCTTACCTGGGACATTGGACACTTTTTGGGAGGCGATTGCTTAGGTAACCCTCGATTACCGGGCAAAACCCCCACATGCGCAAGCCAGTCAGCAGTCTCCGACTCTCCTTACCGGGGATATTGGACACTGACTGCAGGGCTAATGATTAGGTAACCTTCTGTTACCGATCAGCCCGTCTGCACGCGCAGACTATAATTCGGCAATATATATTTATGTAAGAACCCTTCCCACATTCTGGAGTAGAAATAAGATATCTGTAAGACATTCATGGGAAAATCGAAGGCCGGCCGATCTATAAATGGCACTGCCTTGCATGAAGAAAAGGGCAGTCCACCAGCCATCGTCGGAGGCAGTCCACCAGCCATCGTAGGGCGGCAGTCAGTCAAACCACCATACGCGTCGTAGCACAATTAAAACATAACATAACCGGGTAGAATAATCATACGGAAGAATACGGAAGAATAAAGAAACACATTGAAATTAAAAGAACCAAAAGTGTTGTGATTTCTATTTCAGTTTCTGGCAAAGTTGCTGGTTTTCCCGATAAAGTCCTCGTGAATTATAAATAACTTGTAATTCAGGACCCTGGACAGACTGATGCATACCTCAGCCTGAAATAGGACATTACAGTATTTATTTCGGCCTGAAATTTTTACATATTGCAACACTGTTATTTAAGCAGCTGATCACAGTAAAAAATGACAAGTAGGAATTCGGGGGTTCTCAAAAAATTGACTAAATGTCAAAAAGGAGTATTGCGCTCATATACTTAGGCCACCTTGAGCTAAGATCGTCAAACTTGTGTTTTTTTCCGGGAAAGTTGTGCTAGTTATTTTCTAAACTAAAATATTGAATACTAAATACGTTTCCCAAAACAATTTGACCGCTATGGCTAAAAATAAAAATACAAATCCGGCCGAAAGAAAGCTAATTTGGGAATATTACGAAAAAAGCACAAGTATTTTACAAATTTGTAAGACCTTACATTTTTCGCGTGGCAAAGTCAGAAATGCCATTGCATTTTATAAGAAACATGGAACCTGGGAAAATATTCCACGTGAAAAGCCCAGAAAAACCACTTTAAACGACGATAGACGGATTGCCAAAATCAGTAAAGCCGATCCGTTCTTGACTTCGACGCAAATCAGAGGTCAAATGGTGGCAGATTATGGCGTGAATGTGTCAGCTCAGACCATAAGAAGACGGCTAAATGAATTCAGGTTATATGGACGCATTGCCCAAAAAAAACCATTGCTGTCCATTAAAAATGTTAAAAAGCGTCCCAATTTTTGGAACATGATTGTTTGGAGCGACGAATCCAAGTTTAATGTCTTTGGGAGTGATGGTAAACCATATGTACGACGTCCTCCCAACAAACAATTGGACCCCAAATACACGAAGAAGACCGTTAAACATGGTGGCGCTTCGATTATGGTCTGGGGCTGTTTCACCGCATCGGGCGTAGGTCGCCTAGTGAAGATAGAAGGCATTATGAACGGCGAAATGTACAGGGACATCCTTATTAGCAATTTATCTGGAGAATATGCCGATAATTTGCCACTTGCCTGGATATTTCAACAGGACAATGACCCGAAACACACCAGCAAGATAGTCAAGTCGTGGCTTAACCAAGAGGCAATCAATGTTTTGCAATGGCCACCGCAGAGCCCCGATTTGAACCCTATAGAGAACTTGTGGGGAATTCTTAAACAAGTCGTTGGCCAAAAAAAACCAGCAAATAAAAACGATTTGTGACGAATTTTGCAAGAAGAATGGAGGAAAATCACCCCTCAACAGTGCGCACGTCTTGTGGATTCAATGCCAAAGCGTTGCTCCGCTGTTCTTAAGCAGAAAGGTCATCCCACTCAATATTAAAGTAAATTTATTAAAAGAATAAGGAATATTGGGCAAATTTTAACTTTTTCAACCATTTTTTCCAGGTGGCTTAAGTATGTGAGCAGGACATTTTGGAGATGGTCTCAGATTTTTTTAGTTTTTCGTTGATTATATATTTTTATAACTTTGTTATTCTTCTATTAGAACACTGATATATAGAACTAATGTGACACAAAAAATTGGAGCTGTGAAATAACAACTTTTCTTAATTTTCGTTTAAATTCTTGGTTGAAGTCTTGTGGCTTAAGTCTATGAGCACCACTGTAAGTATACTAGGTAGGGACAAAAAAAAAAAGATATAAGCGTCCACCAGAATCGGAATCTACAAAGATTTCTAAGAATCTTTCTCCAAGAAACTATGTGTCTATTTTAAATTAAACAATATTAATTCATTAAACAATGTACACATTGGATTGATATTTTTCGGTAGTAGAATAAAAACATATATTAGTTATGTTATGTGTTTATGTAGCAGCTAGAACGAAGTTTTCCGAATCAAAAAACTTTGTACTATAAAGTTGATTCCTAAATAAATATGTCTTAAAATTAAAAACGATGAATAGTCCATTTTAAGTCCGAATTCAAACTATTTTATTCCTAAAATCAGAGCCTTATATCAGTTTACAAACAATGTATGTGGTACAATTGATATTCTATTCTTATCGCTAGACCCATGGAACGGCTACAGTTACCGTGGGGGTTGTTTGAGTGCATGCAACGCATTGCATACAACATTAATGCTTAGCTCTACATTTGATCAGTGGGAACTCCACTTGTGTATTGCTTGTCGCGTATTTATTACCACACATCTTTGCCCTTTCTTTCAAACGGTCGTAAATTATCGACTGTATGTACTACTACATTTAAATTTATAAATATATAGATTGTGTACAGAATCTTTTCTTAATGTACTCGTACATCGACATGTTCATGTTTGAACATTCTGCAAAGGCCCGAAGGTGGCAAGGTTTGGTAGAGTAATTTTATTTTACCTTCTTATATTTATTAGAATCATAATTACTGATGATAACTTTAGATAATTTACAGTGGGTAGGGAAGAGCTATTGATTGCAGTCTTCTTGCTACTTTAATTCTTCTTAGTGTTTACTGGAACTTTGAAGAGCCAACTACCTTTCTTTTCTAATTCGACCCAAAATGACCTGGTCTCTGCTACTTTTCTATAAACACAATTTGAATGACCTTTTGGTTTGAACGGAGTTATCTCACAAGCATTATCATTGGCGCTGCTCCAAGGCCAATTACCTTCACATACTCTTTTATTTGTCTGCCATTTTTGGCATTTATTCAAGGTAGCCTCAGTCATCGAATGATATGAATCAATTTCAAAATTATATACTAAATATCTTGAGCTCAAATCTACCTTTATTAATTCTTTTTCGTGCTCCACTGGTATTGGAATAATCCTAAACAAATGGGATGGGTGCCTACCGAACAGTGCACAGTGGGCGGCGTTCTATGGGAGAGCGGCCAAAAAGACTCAAAGTTAAGGTAGAGGCTTGAAAGTTTGCACAAAATTTTATTTTATTTTTTGTAAATTGACGTATAAAAATCAGCCGGATCGGACTACTATATCCTATAGCTGCCATATAAACCATTTGTATGAAATCGAGTGTTTGTATGAAAAACTTTTTTTGTTATATTTTAATGCAATTAAATATTATATTTCTGCACAAATAAGAACTTTATGTAACCCGAGCGAGTGTAGTCAAAATCGGGATACTATATCATATAGCTTCCATAGCAACAATTGCAATTGCAATTGATTCAAATATTAGTAATTTTATTATAACAATAACATACTTTTATGCAAACAAAATAGGAGTCATAACAAAAGAAATGGGCGTGGTAAAAATTAAATAATCAAAAAAAAAAAAGGGAAGAAATAATAATTAATCCGATTCTTCTAACAAATCTAATGCAGACTTCATTAAATTTGAATTATATTTGCATGGTAATTTCCTTAGTCCTGCAATAAAGGGATCGGAAGACAAAAGTAGTCTGTTTATTAAATCCGTGTTTATTGCAATTCGAGATATTTTCCAATTCTGCACCATGGATTAAAACTTTGTGCACTGTGGGCGGTGTGTGCACCATAGATTAAAAATATATAGGCGTGCAAACACACATTTATGAGAGTAAATTCCAATGAAATGAATGAATAAGAATGGTACAAATAAGTAAGTAAGAAAGCAACAAACACGAAAGACGAAGATAGAGCAAAAGCAAAATACGCAAAAACATAACCTTGAAAAACGTCAGACGTCGTCAGTATATTTACGATTATATACACATCTGCAAATTTCTGCAGCTAATTTTAACGATTATTGTACCTTAAGAATCAGACAAACACACAGTAACACACAAACGAATTGTGGAATTTTGTGGGATTACAACTAAAACTCCAACTAAACATGAAAAATACGTTTACAAAATACACAAAAAAGGTTTAATCGATCTAAAATACACAAAAAAAATGTAATCAATCAGATTAATTTTACAAGAACAACCACTAAAGTAACTACCTTCAACTTTAAAATTAATTTTAAATAATTAAATTAGGAGAACTCTTTCGAACGCCTGACCACTTTTAAAAGCACTTTTGTTTTGACGAAAAGTTAACTTGACGCAACGGCGCTGAAAAATTGAACACGTGTTCTCGCTTTGCATTCTACATTGTACATACATTGTATATGTAGATGTAGATATCATATGTAGCAAAAAAATGTGAAATGTAAAATTCTTAAAAATCATAAGCTCAAAAATGTATATACTGACTGAGTACGGGTATAAGTAGAGTCGCGTCCCCAGAAGCGACTCACACGTTCCTTCTCGTTTTAATTAAAAAATTGTTTTTAAAAATAAAACAAATTTGGATCTTCATAGCTTAACTTATTAACTAACTAATTCATAAATGTCTTGAAACAAGAGATAAAAATTAAAAAATAACGATATATGGGTTGTCACAGAAATAGCACAATCTCAAAATGTTTCCAATAGTTCATAGAAAATAAGCTCAAAAGCTATAATTGTTTGACAAATTTAATATTTAGTTTAATATCCACGATTTTCAATAACGGCTTTTGATCTCCATCCCATACTTTCCACAAGCTTCTGACATCTCTCGGTATGGAGTTCCAAGCTTCTTTGACACCTGTCCACAAATCGTTAAGATTTGCAACTTTTTTTCTGGATATCATGACCTTAACATCATTGGATTTAGGTCAGGGCTTTAAGCCGGACACTTTAGAACTTCGATGGATTCGTCCTTCAAGCACTTTTTAATGACGCAAGATGTGTGCTTTGGGTCGCCATCGTGTTGAAATATCCATTTCACAGGCATATTCTCAAATGTAAATGGTTCCATTTGATTTTTCAGAATATCAGCATACATGAAACGATCCATTATGCCATTGATTCGGTAAAGCAGACCCACACCATGCCAGGAAAATACACCACAACACATAATGCATCCGCCACCGTGCTTTACGGTCTTGCCATCGGCCATGCCATGTTTTGCCATCGGGTCCTACTTCGGCCCGCAACCTTCCAAAAGGTATTTTTTGTTCATTTTTTAGGTTTGGTTATCGAATTTAAGCTCCAGTTTCTCCATAGATTTTAATGAACAATACCTTAAACGACGCCTAATAAATGCGCCTATGCACAAACAAACAGAGGTCACAGGATATAATTTTTTTCGACTTTTCCCGAGTTTTTAAAGTCAAAATTTCGTTAAAAATACCGCAAAAAAATCATAGTTTTTGCATTTCAATGCTTTATATTTCCCAGACGGTAAGCTGAAATCACAAAGTGTTTAGGCTTAACTTTTAGCTGTTTTAATTATCTTTTCAAAACATTAAAGTTCTTTACAACCAGACGTAAGATACTAGAGTTAACTAAAAAAAAAAGAAGTGCTATCTCTGAAAAAAGCTTTCCAGATGTAAGCTACTTAAGTATGTAAAAAAAATCTATCGGAAAAAATTTGCTTGGTTTGATGAGTAAAAATAAGAAAATAGTGAAATTATGTCAAGAGAAATAAACAGTTAACTTCAAATACTAAGTCATACAAAGAATTCATCATATATTTTATAAATTTAAAAAAAAAATGAAGATATACCAATTTTACTTGGATTTATTGAGTACTAAAGTATTGCTGCATTACCGTTATTTATATTAAAATAGAAAAAATTAGATATGCACATATATTTATTTAGTATGAAGACTACTTTCATCTTTCCATGTAAACCTTGAATAACTTTGATATTTGTGAACCGATTTGCATGTACGTATAAGGTCTTTTTATTTAATTTGGTCCTTCAGAATTTGTTCAGACTAATTTTAGAAAACAAAATCAATCAAGTTTATTGGACAAAGTAAAATGTACCTTTCTTGCAGCGTTTTCTATCATCTCGGGCGGTATAGCGATGATTCCGGCATGAATATTTGCCATGAGGTCGACAATGGTATAACAATTGCTGGCCTAAACTTTACTTTTCAAATAACCCCAAAAAAATAAGTGCGGATGGATTGGGCTTTTCAATATTTTCATTTTTGGATACCAGTCGTCCAGGGAATTTTTGTTGGAGTATCTGCATTGTTTGATGTGTAGTTTGGCATGGAGCACCGTTTTGTTGAAACTAGTAACCGTTCAGACCTTTTTTCATTCTCGAAAAAGTCATGGAAAACGCATTAAAAAACGAAGAATGTTTTACTGTGTCCAATATGCAAATTGGCTCACAAATGTCAAAGTTATTCACTGTTTACATGGAGCACTAAATGTTAGCGCAAGTCTATGGGTGTATGTATTTAAAAACAACAAATGTATTTCATTTCTTTAAATTGTTTTTATTGTACGACGAGGTAGAAGTGTACAAATCGGTTTTTAATTATATTTGTCAAACAATTACATTAAAAATTTGACTTTACATAAGTAAAACATAATTAAGTATTGTTTTTTTTTTTAAATATAGTATTGCTCATACAAAGCGTTTAAAGAAAATAAAGTTGATTTTCTAAACCAGATGATGGAGACCGATTAATACTTTCGGCTACAAGAAATGCCAACTTGTGAGCGTATTGACACACGGAAGGCACACGACAAGTCCCAGAATAATTATAATACATGTGGGTCATTTTGTAGGCCAACATTTGCAGTTTATCGGCACTTAGTCCCATGTTATCGTGTATAACATTGTAGTTAGTAGGCGATACCGTTCCCTGACGCACAGCCTGCGACACTAAAAAGAAGTCATATCGCTCAGGAAGCGTTATGACATCATCGACTACTGTACCTGGCACGGGATTGCGTTTGTTGGCAAAGTACCGAGTATTAATCCGCTTAGCTACAACAATAAATGCCATTCTACAGCCGTCTTCTTTGCCTGCAGATTTATAAATCTCATCTAGTTTAGTTTTCAAAAACTTCACTTCAGTGTTGACAACTTGATGAAGTTGACCATCACCGACACCATCACGGAAGAACAGAATTCGCTCTGGTAAAGTACCATGATGATCCCGGAACGCTTTTAGGGCACATGTCATATTTATTGACATCTGATCCGACAACTCCTGGCCTTTCATGTGTTCGGTTACTGAAGAATAGTAGCGGGTTGATGATTTCATAGCCATCGTAGCTACAAGAGCACCATATGACTTGTTTTTGTTCTTTGACGAATGACACACATCAAACCCAACGGTCATTAATCCGCGAACAGGTAACTCTATCATCCAGGGCGCGCCCATCAGTTTTGCGTTCATCTGAATAACCACTTTTGTGGCTATGGACATGAGGCCACTCGATTTCTCTTTTCTTGGAGCAATGGTTTTCAGCGTAACAACTTGTGATGGTACCGGTCGATCAACACAAGTGCGCTTTTTAATACAGCTATACCTGTTTATGATGAAAACCAATTAATACACACATTTTATGAAATCAATTTACTCATACTTCTCTTCGTTTGGAGCCTTGAGCACGAGCATTATAATTTGTGGATCTTTGGCTACTGCATTATCGATCGATTGCGAGTATGTCCCATTGCGATCATCAGGGATTTTATCGCTGAAATTAAATACGGAACTAAATGTATTCCTATTTATAATAATATATAGTTTTAATTAATACATACTATCGAGGCTCGGAAATAATCATTTTCATCCCACTGGCAGCACGGATGCAGAGCTTGACAAACTCTTCAGTTTCCCGGAAACTACGCTGTGGAGTTATCACATACCACCTCTTTATATCCACATGCGAGTACATTAAGTTTTTTCGGAATTCTTGAGTCCAATCAGCTCGGCTATCGCATAAGAAACGCTTTTGATCGCCAAAGACAATTTTCTCAGGAGGTAAAACGCGTGCTGGGATTTCCACCAAAGCTGAATCAAGTTTAATATTCCACGATTTTAGCACATCCATGCTCTCTTTCGACGATTGCAAGCGCTGGTTTAATACCCGCAGACGTTCAATACGACGATCCGGAGCTAATCTGGTATACTCGCTCATTGCTTTCATCAATCTAATTTAAGAATATTTAAGAAATCAATAATGTTAACATCAAAAGTTGGGATCAGCATTAAAGACATACTGAAAATCAGTCATTCCAGTAGCTCGAGCCAATTCAGGAACAAGCATAATACCAATGGCTGCTTATGGACACGAATTGTGATATTATATCTCTAAAAAATAGAAATGGTAGAATAGTAAAATGATTTCCAAAAATAAACAAAAAATATAGCCGATGTTCCATATACAGCCTTGGTCATATAAATAGCACAAAAAATATTAAATTTATGGAATGCTTTTTATACCCGTACTCAAAAAAGAGTTAAGGGGTATATTAGATTTGTGGTAAAAGTGGATGTGTGCAAGGCAGAGAAGGAAATGTTTCCGACCCCATAAAGTATATATATTCTTGATCAGCATCAATAGCCGAGTCTATATAGCCATGTCCGTCTGTCCGTCCGTCCGTCTTGATGAGCGCCTGGATCTCAGAGACTATAAAAGCTAGAGAAACCAAATTTGGTTTCCAGACTCATGTGATATCACACTGCTACAAGTGTATTTCAAAATTTCGCCCCGCCCCCTTCCGCCACCACAAAGGACGAAAATCTGGGGCAGGCAGAATTTTAAAGATACGCAAAAACTGAAAGCGCAGTATCGTAGAGAATATCTACCAGATTGCCGAATCTGAATCGTATCGGACCATAATTATAGCCAGAATGAAGAAATACATTTTCTGTTGCTTCCCCTCCCCCTCCCTACACTGACAACGCATCTCATTTTCCTTCTCGCTCGCACATTCTGCCGCGTTCAGTGCGCGAGCAACCCCTAGCGGAGGAAATGTAGAATCTAATTGGCACATGTAAAATCTACATGTTAGATGTAGAATATACATTGTATATGTAGATGTAGATATCATATGTAGCAAAAAAATGTGAAATGTAAAATTCTTAAAAATCATAAGCTCAAAAATGTATATACTGACTGAGTACGGGTATAAGTAGAGTCGCGTCCCCAGAAGCGACTCACACGTTCCTTCTCGTTTTAATTAAAAAATTGTTTTTAAAAATAAAACAAATTTGGATCTTCATAGCTTAACTTATTAACTAACTAATTCATAAATGTCTTGAAACAAGAGATAAAAATTAAAAAATAACGATATATGGGTTGTCACAGAAATAGCACAATCTCAAAATGTTTCCAATAGTTCATAGAAAATAAGCTCAAAAGCTATAATTGTTTGACAAATTTAATATTTAGTTTAATATCCACGATTTTCAATAACGGCTTTTGATCTCCATCCCATACTTTCCACAAGCTTCTGACATCTCTCGGTATGGAGTTCCAAGCTTCTTTGACACCTGTCCACAAATCGTTAAGATTTGCAACTTTTTTTCTGGATATCATGACCTTAACATCATTGGATTTAGGTCAGGGCTTTGAGCCGGCCACTTCAGAACTTCGATGGATTCGTCCTTCAAGCACTTTTTAATGACGCAAGATGTGTGCTTTGGGTCGCCATCGTGTTGAAATATCCATTTCACAGGCATATTCTCAAATGTAAATGGTTCCATTTGATTTTTCAGAATATCAGCATACATGAAACGATCCATTATGCCATTGATTCGGTAAAGCAGACCCACACCATGCCAGGAAAATACACCACAACACATAATGCATCCGCCACCGTGCTTTATGGTCTTGCCATCGGCCATGCCATGTTTTGCCATCGGGTCCTACTTCGGCCCGCAACCTTCCAAAAGGTATTTTTTGTTCATTTTTTAGGTTTGGTTATCGAATTTAAGCTCCAGTTTCTCCATAGATTTTAATGAACAATACCTTAAACGACGCCTAATAAATGCGCCTATGCACAAACAAACAGAGGTCACAGGATATAATTTTTTTCGACTTTTCCCGAGTTTTTAAAGTCAAAATTTCGTTAAAAATACCGCAAAAAAATCATAGTTTTTGCATTTCAATGCTTTATATTTCCCAGACGGTAAGCTGAAATCACAAAGTGTTTAGGCTTAACTTCTAGCTGTTTTAATTATCTTTTCAAAACATTAAAGCTCTTTACAACCAGACGTAAGATACTAGAGTTAACTAAAAAAAAAAGAAGTGCTATCTCTGAAAAAAGCTTTCCAGATGTAAGCTACTTAAGTATGTAAAAAAAATCTATCGGAAAAAATTTGCTTGGTTTGATGAGTAAAAATAAGAAAATAGTGAAATTATGTCAAGAGAAATAAACAGTTAACTTCAAATACTAAGTCATACAAAGAATTCATCATATATTTTATAAATTAAAAAAAAAAATGAAGATATACCAATTTTACTTGGATTTATTGAGTACTAAAGTATTGCTGCATTACCGTTATTTATATTAAAATAGAAAAAATTAGATATGCACATATATTTATTTAGTATGAAGACTACTTTCATCTTTCCATGTAAACCTTGAATAACTTTGATATTTGTGAACCGATTTGCATGTACGTATAAGGTCTTTTTATTTAATTTGGTCCTTCAGAATTTGTTCAGACTAATTTTAGAAAACAAAATCAATCAAGTTTATTGGACAAAGTAAAATGTACCTTTCTTGCAGCGTTTTCTATCATCTCGGGCGGTATAGCGATGATTCCGGCATGAATATTTGCCATGAGGTCGACAATGGTATAACAATTGCTGGCCTAAACTTTACTTTTCAAATAACCCCAAAAAAATAAGTGCGGATGGATTGGGCTTTTCAATATTTTCATTTTTGGATACCATTCGTCCAGGGAATTTTTGTTGGAGTATCTGCATTGTTTGATGTGTAGTTTGGCATGGAGCACCGTTTTGTTGAAACTAGTAACCGTTCAGACCTTTTTTCATTCTCGAAAAAGTCATGGAAAACGCATTAAAAAACGAAGAATGTTTTACTGTGTCCAATATGCAAATTGGCTCACAAATGTCAAAGTTATTCACTGTTTACATGGAGCACTAAATGTTAGCGCAAGTCTATGGGTGTATGTATTTAAAAACAACAAATGTATTTCATTTCTTTAAATTGTTTTTATTGTACGACGAGGTAGAAGTGTACAAATCGGTTTTTAATTATATTTGTCAAACAATTACATTAAAAATTTGACTTTACATAAGTAAAACATAATTAAGTATTGTTTTTTTTTTTTAAATATAGTATTGCTCATACAAAGCGTTTAAAGAAAATAAAGTTGATTTTCTAAACCAGATGATGGAGACCGATTAATACTTTCGGCTACAAGAAATGCCAACTTGTGAGCGTATTGACACACGGAAGGCACACGACAAGTCCCAGAATAATTATAATACATGTGGGTCATTTTGTAGGCCAACATTTGCAGTTTATCGGCACTTAGTCCCATGTTATCGTGTATAACATTGTAGTTAGTAGGCGATACCGTTCCCTGACGCACAGCCTGCGACACTAAAAAGAAGTCATATCGCTCAGGAAGCGTTATGACATCATCGACTACTGTACCTGGCACGGGATTGCGTTTGTTGGCAAAGTACCGAGTATTAATCCGCTTAGCTACAACAATAAATGCCATTCTACAGCCGTCTTCTTTGCCTGCAGATTTATAAATCTCATCTAGTTTAGTTTTCAAAAACTTCACTTCAGTGTTGACAACTTGATGAAGTTGACCATCACCGACACCATCACGGAAGAACAGAATTCGCTCTGGTAAAGTACCATGATGATCCCGGAACGCTTTTAGGGCACATGTCATATTTATTGACATCTGATCCGACAACTCCTGGCCTTTCATGTGTTCGGTTACTGAAGAATAGTAGCGGGTTGATGATTTCATATCCATCGTAGCTACAAGAGCACCATATGACTTGTTTTTGTTCTTTGACGAATGACACACATCAAACCCAACGGTCATTAATCCGCGAACAGGTAACTCTATCATCCAGGGCGCGCCCATCAGTTTTGCGTTCATCTGAATAACCACTTTTGTGGCTATGGACATGAGGCCACTCGATTTCTCTTTTCTTGGAGCAATGGTTTTCAGCGTAACAACTTGTGATGGTACCGGTCGATCAACACAAGTGCGCTTTTTAATACAGCTATACCTGTTTATGATGAAAACCAATTAATACACACATTTTATGAAATCAATTTACTCATACTTCTCTTCGTTTGGAGCCTTGAGCACGAGCATTATAATTTGTGGATCTTTGGCTACTGCATTATCGATCGATTGCGAGTATGTCCCATTGCGATCATCAGGGATTTTATCGCTGAAATTAAATACGGAACTAAATGTATTCCTATTTATAATAATATATAGTTTTAATTAATACATACTATCGAGGCTCGGAAATAATCATTTTCATCCCACTGGCAGCACGGATGCAGAGCTTGACAAACTCTTCAGTTTCCCGGAAACTACGCTGTGGAGTTATCACATACCACCTCTTTATATCCACATGCGAGTACATTAAGTTTTTTCGGAATTCTTGAGTCCAATCAGCTCGGCTATCGCATAAGAAACGCTTTTGATCGCCAAAGACAATTTTCTCAGGAGGTAAAACGCGTGCTGGGATTTCCACCAAAGCTGAATCAAGTTCAATATTCCACGATTTTAGCACATCCATGCTCTCTTTCGACGATTGCAAGCGCTGGTTTAATACACGCAGACGTTCAATACGACGATCCGGAGTTAATCTGGTATACTCGCTCATTGCTTTCATTAATCTAATTTAAGAATATTTAAGAAATCAATAATGTTAACATCACAAGTTGTGATCAGCATTAAAGACATACTGAAAATTTGCACGCATGGCATCAGTCATTCCAGTAGCTCGAGCCAATTCAGGAACAAGCATAATAAGCTGATCCGTGCCTCCACGAATGTTTTTCTCCGTAGGTCGTGACACTACCAATGGCTGCTTATGGTCACGAATTGTGATATTATATCTCTAAAAAATAGAAATGGTAGAATAGTAAATGATTTCTAAAAATAAACAAAAGATATAGCCGATGTTCCATATACAGCCATAGCACAAAAAAATATTAAATCTATGGAATGCTTTTTTTAATTAAAAAATAGTTTTTAAAAATAAAACAAATTCGGATCTTGATAGCTTAACTTATTAACTAATTAATTCATAAATGTCTTGAAACAAGAGATAACGAGAAGGAACGTGTGAGTCCCTTCTGTGGACGCGACTCTACTCTTATACCCGTACTCAGTCAGTATATTCAATTTGTGAACTTATGATTTAAGTAGAGTTTTAAAATATTTTACATTTGTTTGCTACAGTTGTTATCTTCATCTACATCAACAATGTCGATTACACATATGAAATGTAGATTATACATACACAATGTAGATTCTACATATCCGCAAAGGTCGAGCATTGCACAGGGCAGAGTGTGTGCAAGCGAGAAAGAGAATGAATAGCGGGTCTCTTGCTGTAGGAGGCGGGGAAAGCAACTGAAATCTAATATTTTCATTCTGGCTATAATTATGATCCTATCTGATTCAGATTCGGCAATCTGGTAGATATGGTCATTCTCTACGATACTGCGTTTTTAGTATTATCGTAGTATCTTTAAAATTGTGGCTGCCACAGATTTTCGTCTTTTGTGGGGCGGAAGGGGCGGGGCGAAATTTTGAAATACACTTGTAGCAGTGTGATATCACATGAGTCTGGAAACAAAATTTGGTTGCTCTAGCTCTTATAGTCTCTAAAATGTAGACGGAGAGACGGGCATGGCTATATCGACTCGGATATTGTTGCTTTTTAGAGCCCTGCACGAATCCACATGATTCATAAAATCACAGTATACTCATGCCCCTTCAATGCGTTCGATCATTACGAATCATGCCTTCAGTAAGATTCGAATCATCCGAATCACTAAAAAACCGAATCCGAGCACTGCGAATCAATCTCAGCAGAATCGATAGCCGAGTCTCTGTCTGTGTTTCAGTCTGTCCGTCTTGTTGAGCGCCTAGATCTCAAAGACTATAAGAGCTAGGGCAACCAAATTTGGTTTCCAGACTCATGTGATATCACACTGCTACAAGTGTATTTCAAAATTTCGCCCTGCCCTCTTCCGCCACCACAAAGGACGAAAACCTGTGGCAGAAACATTTTTAAAGATACGATAAAACTAAAAACGCAGTATCTTAGAGAATGCCCATATCTACCAGATTGCCGAATCTGAATTAGATCGGATCATAATTATAGCCTGAATGACGAAATTAATTTTCAGTTGCTTCCCCTGCCAACTCCTTCCAACGACAACGCAACTCATTTTCTTTCTCGCTCGCACACTCTGCCGCGTTCAGTGCGCGAGCAACCTCTAGCGGAGGAGATGTCGAATCTAAATGGTACATGTACAATCTTCATGTTCGATGTAGAATATACATAATATATGTAGATGTATGTAGATAACAGATGTAGCAAAAATATGTAATATGTAAATTTTTTTTTTTTTAATTCTAAAATTCAAAAAAATCATATGCTCATATGAGTACGGGTATAAGTAGAGTCACGTCCCCAGAAGCGACTCGCGCAGTTCCTTCTCGTTTTTAATATTTTTAATGTTTTGTAAAAATTTTTATTTTCTTTTCGTGGTAGCAGCCCCCAAACATTAAGCTAAAAATTTGCAAAAAATTGTATAATTTTATTAAATAAAATACACTTGAAAAAAAAAATGTATGGTCACATTTTGGCCCAGCCTAGTATATCTACATATATCTATTTTCGCACCGATATTAATATTATAGCATTATAAAAACTGAATTACCTTTTTGTAGTATTCTACATACGATATATCTCCATCTTTAGTGTTAAATTTAGATATGGGCGATGCTCCAAAGTCGACATCATCGATGCGATATGTTTTATTGTTGTAATCAGTAAGACATATCATACCTATGGAAAAGAATAAATTTTTAAATATACACGACTTCAAATGAAAATATTGGACAATCAGAAAAAGAAAGTGCGTAAGATGCTGACTTTGATACACACCAGAGAACGGCAATGAGTATGGTCGAGCCTGTTCGATACCCCTTCAAAAAATTATTCTCAACTCAAACGCTCAGCAGAAATATGTTCGTTCGGGTTTACTCAGTCGAAGCCAAGTTTTCGGGTTCGGGCAGGTTCGAACACACAATGAAGTTTCGGGTATTTTCCGTTCACCGGTTCGATGCGTTTTCGTTCAAAGGCTTGATAAAACCTTCGGGTATGGGACGCATGTATGATTGTTACCGAAGTGGACGAAGTCCCGAAAAGAGAAATAACATATTTGACCTTGGGTTTCTTGCACATGAATTTACTGGGAGTGAAGCCAAAAAACTCGAGTTGATTAAAAATCAAAATAAATTTTAAATGGGAATGGAGTTAGAAAATAAACATTTTATTTCATTTATATTATAAAAATATACAAAGCAAAACTAAAAAACCAAATTATAGAAAATAACAGAAATTAACATATACAAAATTTTATGAGATCAAAATATCTAGATATATATAGAAATTTAAATTATATATGTACATTTAGGAATTAAAATTTTTAAGAAAGGAATTTAAGAAAAGTAAGCTGTCAACCGAACCTGGATCTAGTCTATTACGTTTTTCTGTTATAATGTTGCCCGCCAAAGAAAACGAGCGCTCAGCCGCTGCACTGCTAGCTGGCATTGAGTGAATTTCAAAAGCTAGTTTTGATAAATAGGGGTATTTCTTTTGATTGTTTTGCCACCACTCCATCAAATTAAAATTTGCATTCATATTCACTTTTTCCTTGCAATATCTTTCTATTTCCTCTTCAGGCATTTCTATGATTTTTGAAACAGGTTGATTTATTAAATATTCAAAAAAGAAAGCGTCATTTTCTTTATCAGATGATACTTGGGTTGGGTGGCGCACGAGCACAAACGGACAGTCAGTCTCGAACAAGCTTGATTGTGAAAAGCATGTTCGATCAGACGTTCAGACTGAACCAAAACGAACGCTCATATGCAATCACGTATGATATATTCCTTGAGTGATTGGGCTTTACCCGTTCGTTTCAAACCGGCGCAAACCAATCACTTCATGCTGCTGAATCAGAGTCACAAAAACTCTGAGTAAGTGTTCGAGTTTGCCCGAAAAACAATTACTCGTTGCAGCTCTCTGGTACACACATTTTAAATTAGTATTTGTTATGAATAATCGCGCGATAGGGTTCCGAGATTTCTGAAACTCGACCATGTCCAACAAATCGTCCAGTATGGGGATGCTTTCGACCATTTTCGGTTTTTAATCCTTAAAAAATAGCTCGACGGTAAATGATTTGGATCAAAAAGACAGGTACTTCATGATCCACCGTACATCTTTATTTGCTCAGGAAAATAAGAAATAAATAAGAACGAGATGGAACGTTGTAATTCGCTTCATAACAAAAGTCGGGTAACACCAATCAGAGAAGAGACAAAACGGGTTTTTGCTGGACGGATCGCATACAAACAAAGTTGTTTGCATGTGTTGGGCTTTCGGTATGCTGGTACAAAGCACAAACTGTGTATGCACAGTAACCAATTCTTGTTTTCCTATGCTGAGGGCAATTACAAAAACAAAAGGGCTCGAAGGGCAATGGGCCTGGGCATCACTGACCTAGAGTGATCAGATCTCGTTAACTATATTTATCTTCAAAATTCAATTTTTGAAAGCTCAGGAAAATTCTCTATTAGATGCGTATTTTCATTTAATCCAAAGCGCTCATAAAATTTGTTGACTTGTGTAACCTCTTTTCGGCTGAGTCCCCAACTGTGCAGCGCCAAAGACTTATTAAGCATTGACGAAGACAGTAGCATTTGGGAGCCTAAAAGAGAATTGAAGAAATATCCCCGCGCACCCGTACCATGTAGCGTCAAACGAAAATTGAATGGTCATTTGTTCCTCATGCAGCATCGTAGTCTTTGCTTTTATACAGTTCTTAAACCTTTTTACGTCTTGAACGTCTGTATGCACACTTACATATATATGTAAATACAAAAACTCACCCATAACTTGTCGTTTAAAAGCGTCTTGATAATCGTCGTTATCTCGAATCGCCTCAGATAAAATATTATACAAGGTATCCGTTCTCATTACCTTATGAGCGATCTCGGCACACAATAATATGTCAGACTCGTGTTGACGAATCGATGTATGATATCCAGGCCACAATTCCATGCGGTAATTATCAAGTTTAATCTATAGCACATATAAAAAAATAACATTAAATAGCTTTTGAACATTAGTCACTCTCTTTTTTCCGGTAGTAAAGATATTTCCTGATATTTTTGTTCCATTTTGCTAAATAATACAATTATGAACAATTTTGCAGTGAGGAAATTTCTTCACGTCTATGCTTAAACCGGCCCTTGGGCAAATTAGGCCAGGCAGCCGATAGGTAAGTTATTAAGTTATTAAATTATTAAGCAATTCAAGTAACTGAATTTTTTTTTGTAATGTGACGTACCTTCGCCTTAGGATCAAAATAGTTACGGGATACAAGCTGTAGATTAAGCCCTTCCATTGCTCTTCGTAAGATAAGATTCAGGACTTGGAATTGCTGGTTGTCAGCTGCTTCAACGGAACCAACATGCTTTATTTTGATGGTAATATTCTCTCCTGCGTGATTTTTTGTCACTAATTCCTTGACCTTGAATTGAGTTGTGCAGAATAACACAGTTCCGTCGAAAATATATCCACCCAATATATTTTTATGTTCGTGGACGTATCCACGACGGTAACGTGTGTTGTCGACTTCAGGTTCGAAGTCCACCCGGTACTGGAATATGGTCCAACATGGACGTTTCAAGATTTTAAAATAATTGGTCTGGACAGCTATTTTTGTGCCGGTAGTTCCAGATTTGGTTGTAAGTCCTTGAGGACGAGAGTGCACAACTTCAGTTATTAGGCGTCGTCCACGTACAGATCCTCGAGGATCGCCTAGTTAGAAAAAAATTGGAATTAATAATAATCACAAAAAGGACCAAAACAATACCTTCAGTGGCTTGAACTTCAGAATCCGTAGAGCTCGGTATGTTCTCCAACACCCTTTTTTCAGTCTCCATTGAGGGGACAGGTTTATCTGGACGTGTCTCTTTAGAAGACTGGCCCTGAAAATCGATAAATTTGTATAAGATATATTATACCGAGCTCGATGTAAAATAAAACATTAAACCAAGATAGGCAGAAAGCCTAGAGATGAGAAAGGGATTAAATTGCATCCATTTGCCATTCAATTTGGGCATAATCCTAAGACAATCTTGTACCAGACAAAAAACAAAAAAAATAAATGCTGTTTCGATACTGAGCTTCTTCAAAAGCGTTGTTTTGCGAGATTATTAAAGAGATGATTAAAGAGACATAGTTTATTGTAGTGTAGTATATAAGGCGATACAGAGTCGAAGGGATAGTTAGCTGGATTCAAGACAGTGTAAGATTGAAGACGCGGCGGTCGGTTCCAAACGGTGTCGGATTAAATAGCTCGATTCCAAGACGATGTACAAGAAGTGATTGCAAGATCAAGACTAAATCAAAGGGCAGGCGGGCCGGGTGCAAGGATATAGACGCTAGAGAACGGTTGCATAGGCAATGCTGCCGTGCGGGAGCATGAATGTGTACATATGTTTGTAGGTAGATGACAATTTAGTACAGTGGGCAGTGCAAACAACGAACAAAAATAAGGATTTACATATGTATACCACTGCTACCAGCTTAAAACTAAACTCCAGTTAGCTGACTCATTTTCCATGAAGCATGTTTGGAGAAATTTTGAAAAACACAAAATTGCGACATAGGAATCTTTGAAAATGGCACTGCTTGTTTAATGGACCAATATTAGTTCATAGAGCACCTTAGGGGAATGGTTGTGCTGAGGCCTTTTAGACATCAAAAAGACTCAATCCGGATAAATAAACTTAAATTGTATTTTGTAGCTGTAATATTCAAATATTACTTGAACAACTGTACGAATAATTTATGTACGTAAGAAACTTTTTTTATCATAGGTTGTTTCTTTCTTAGGTATAAAAAACACATGTGTTGATAAAGATATTTTTATACCCGTAGTCAAGAGGGGTAGTCCGATATACAATGTCTATTCTACATCTAACATGTAGATTATAGATGTACCATTCATATTCTACATCTCCTCCGCTAGGGGTTTCTCGCGCACTGAACGCGGCAGAGTGTGCGAGCGAGAAGGAAAATGAGTTGCATTGTCGTTTGCGGGAGGGGGGACAGGGGAAGCAACTGAAAATTAATTTCTTCATTCTGGCTATAATTATGATCCGATCTGATTTAGATTCGGCAATCTGGTAGATATGGGCATTCTCTACGATACTGCGTTTTTAGTTTTATCGTATCTTTAAAAATGTGCCTGCCACAGATTTTCGTCCTTTGTGGGGTCGAAAGGGGGCGGGGCGAAATTTTGAAATACACTTGTAACAGTGGGATATCACATGAGTCTGGAAACCAAATTTGGTTGCCCTAGCTCTTATAGTCTCTGAGATCTAGGCGCTCATCGAGACAGACAGACAGACGGACAGACGGACAGACAGACATGGCTATATCGACTCGGCTATTGATGCTGATCAAGAATATATATACTTTGTGGGGTCGGAAACGTTTCCTTCTCTGCGTTACACACATCCACTTTTCCCACAAATCTAATATACCCCTTAACTCTTTTTTGAGTACGGGTATAAAAATGTATATACGGGTATGTACGGGTATAAGTAGAGTCGCGTCCCCAGAAGCGACTCGCACCTTCCTTCTCGTTTTTTTAGTTACTGTTAAAAAGTTAACGATTGGTAAAAATCTGGAAGTTCAGCTGATATATTTAGTTAACTAGTTCGCAAAAACTTGTGAGAGTTTTTTTACTGCCAATAACTGATTAACGATATTAATTAACAATTAACGATATTAATGGTATCAATATTTATGCAATAGATTTCACCAAATTATCCAACTCATTCAGTAAACAATTTTTTTTTAATTTTCTTGATTAAAATAGTTTGTAAAATTCGATATCAACCTATAAAAAATGTTGTTAAATAAAAATAAAAACTTTAATATTACTCTCAAGCCCAAGATGACAAAAATAAGGGGTGTTCCGTCTAAATTTCAAAAAAACATTTTTTTGGCGCAACCTAGTATACATATGGACATGTCCGACGAATGATGTACTTTTTGTACGTTCATGACCGCATGTCTTATTACACTAGTCAACACGATTTTTCCTCAAGGAACAAAACGAACTTTTTCTTAAAGATTTGGGGCTTAGAAATGGTTTGATGATATTTTTTTTTTTTTCTATGGCAGAACTTTTTTTTAAAGAATTTTTGAAAACTGGTATTTTTTTTTAAAGCTTTTTTCAGAGGTAACGCTTGTTTTTTTCACATAACTCTAGTATCTTACGTCTGGTTGTAAAGAACTTTGCTATTTTGAAAAGATAATTGACGCAGCTAGAAGATGATGCCAAACACTTTGGAACGCGATCAGGTACCAAATGTACAACCCTTGCTCGTTTGCTTTGTTCCCAATCGGCAGTTGGGCCCGCCGCCTTCAAAAAGGTATTTTTTGTTCATTTTTTCCATTTTTTAGGTTTGGTTAACGAATTTTAGCTCCAAAGTCTCTCCATAGATCTTAATGAGCGATACCTTAAACGACGCCAAATTAACGCACCTATACACAAAAAAATAGATAACACAAGATATAATTTTTTTTCGACTTTTCCTGAGTTTTTAAAGTCAAAATTTCGTAAAAAATACCCCACAAAAATCATCATTTTTGCATTTCAATGCTTTATATTTCCCAGACGGTAAGCTGAAATCACAAAGTATTTGGGCTCAACTTCTAGCTGTTTTAATTACCTTTTCAAAATAGCAAAGTTCTGTACAACCAGACGTAAGATATTAAAGTTATGTGAAAAAACTATCGCTACATCTGAAAAAAGGTTTAAAAAAAAATACCAGACTTCAAAAATTCTTCAAAAAAAAGTTCTGCCATAGAAAAAAAACCATAACTCTTTAAAAAATTTAAAAGCCCCATATACATATCCATATACAAACTTTGATGTCGAGGGTGTACGAAGGATAGGCATACGTATGGACTCAAAAAAAAAAAACCCAACAAACAAACCTAAATAAATATGTATGTATGTTTAGATTTTTCCAATTTTGCAGAAGTATTGTAAAGTAACGTATTAAATACCGTTTATCATGTTCAATTACGATACATTCGTGCACGAATTAAGCTGTGCAGTACAATTTTCAAATGTTTCGTTTCGGTAATCCATGACTATTATTTTTCTATTATTTAATGTTTTCAACTTTTCAATCTCCTACTCTTAACATTTGAAAATTGTTTTGACTCCGGTAGTACATTTAATGTACATACCTATATTTTACACAGATATGCGTAAACCGATATTTTAAACCGATGTAATAAATAAATTATACACTGTGTGGAACACGTGATTTCCAAAATTATTTTAAAAAGTACCGGGAGAAGAATATAAGATCTTAGTTTGTATCTAATCTAATTGTTCACCAATGCAAACTACATAAGAATATATATAGAAACTTTAAAGTCGAGGGTGTTCGAGAGATAAGGACATATTGACTCAAAGAAAAACCAAAATACATTCATGTTTAGTTTTTTTTTTTAATTTTGAGAAGTGATGTAAAGTAACTTAATAAAAAACGTTTAACATGTGCCCTTACGATACATTCAAAAACTGGTGCACGAATTAACCTGTGCAGTACAATTTTCCAATTTTCGTTTCGGTAGTCCTTGACTGCATTATTTTTCTTTTATTTAATGTTTTCAACTTTTGAATCCCTACTCATAACATTTGAAATTTGTTTGCCTCCGGTAGTACATATAATGTATATACATATATCCTTACACAGATATGTTTGACTATTTAAAACCGATTTAATACACATGTTATATACTGTGTCAAAAGAACCTAAGTTACAAAATTTTTTTTTAAAGTAGCCGGAAATTATGTAGAATGTATGTTTGTATATAATTTAATTTTCTTACCAATTGAAGACCCAGGCCACGGTTGGCATCGTCATTACGTTTTGTTCCACGGCCCCGTCCACGAGAATGTCCAGAATTAGGGGGTAAATTATTCATTTTTCCGTTGAATAATATTCGTCTCTTTGAGAAACACAACCTATTCCAGCAAGCTTAAAAAATGTTTTAAAATACCCAGGGCTGAATGCAATAGTTTAACACTTCCTGTAGTTATCGATGTCAAAATCTCGTTGTGCAGTTATTGTTTCTTTAGCCTAGTACTCAGACGCGCTAAATTTTCCGTCGGCCGAAATTAGGGATGATATTCGTATTATCGTTGATATTGATAAGGCTGGGCTTTAATGGCTGTGTATGTGTGTCTTTCGGACGAAAAAAGAATAATTCTATATTCCGCTCGAGATGGGAATATACCATCGGTTGCTTCTGTAGTATGTATCGGCTTGTCTATTTTCCGAACTGAGTACGGTCTGCGAAATGCCTGCTGCAAAATTTTCGATCGACCGAGGTGCGGCATGCTTTTTTATCGTTTCCATTCTAATATCATCCCTGAATCGTTCGATGGAAAATTTAACGCGTCAAGGTACTAAGCTTAAATGGCATATTGGAATTTTTAATATCATTTCCTATATTACTATCTTTTATAATGAATAAAAGTTCTTACAAACACAACTATCTGAATAATATTTAGGAAACATAGTGCAGTTCCGGCTAACGGTATATTTTTACACCTTTATTAGCGCCATATTTATAGAAATGTTTGTCCTTTGGGAATTAAATTTTTAAGAATGTATAGTATTATATTTGGTTAAGATCAAAACCATTTTAAGACATCAGAGCGCAACATTAAACAATTTTTCAAATCGAAATATTTGTATTCAAGTTTCGCTGAAATTCCCGTTCGAATGCCAGGGTTTCTTGCACCAATACCATGTCTTATTTAAAAGTTATAAAGGTATTGTGAACAAAAAAGTCCGTTACACTTTAACTTATTTTAATAGGCCGTTTACACTAGGGCTGCGTCATGCTTCGTTGCGTCTTGCCGGAGACGCAGTTCTTTTTACATAGGTTAAGCATTGGGCTCTAGTGGTGGCAAAAAGTTGCGTCGGTCTCTGATTCATGTGCGTCTATACGATATATTCGATTGCTTTTGCGCTTCTCAGCACATATTTGCACTTTTCTGCCTATCAGCGCAACTATCATTACTAGAACAATAAAAACTTGTAGATCAAAAGTCAAATTTTGGCGCTTAAAATTCATGGCTGTTGCAAAAGGTGAAAATATACATAAAATCATTAAATAAAATACTTCAAACTGATTGTATTATTATCATACGACATTTTTGTGACCCCCCGATGCCATTAAATCCTAGTACTCAGATCCAAAAACTGTTTGCCAGCAAACAAAAGTCCAGAGTGTGACCAGAGGTGTGCACTGCATTCCGAACGGTTACATTGCTCAGACCGCTGCTTGGTTTTGTTTAAAGTTAATAAAATGCATTTCTTCGGCTGGGGCTGCTCTTCCCCAGGTATATCCTGGGCTTCCCAACATTTTATTGGCAAGGTAATGGATCTGACTATCAGCAGCAGCAGATCGCGACGCCTCCCGTGCCGGACACCGTGAATACAAAATGTTTTGGAAACAATATTTGTTTTATATATATGAAAATTAATAAAAATAATAAATTATAGTATCCATATAATTGTCATTCATATAACACTGCATTTATTAGATTCTATTTGTCTTCAATATTTAAATATTTCATTTGGTTTTGTGTACTCTTATTGCAATGTTTGCTTCGTGTTTGCTGGCAAAATATATCAATCTGATATAATTTTCGAGGCATACATATACAGCTAAACATACCAAAAAAACAAGCAAATACTTTTTTTTTGTTGATCTGAGTACTTCCTTCCGTACAAAGCCTAGAAAAGAGTTTTTGCCGTAAAAATTTCTTATCGGTTTCATACGAATATCAACCCTGATTCTGTTCGCGAGGTGTTTTTTTTAGATCTGAGTACTAGGCTTAAGGCAATTCTGGTGACAAACTTCAATGGGTTTCATAATTTTAAGAAGAACTACCACAAACTCTAAAAAGAAATGTCTGAAAATAATAAATAAATATGAGAATCCATTCTCTTTTGTCCATTTTCTGTTGATTTTTCAAAAGTTGTTTTTCTTTCCTTGTCATCAAGCACCCAAAGCACCCAAGCACCGGCGGGGCAACCGCTCTGTGGGCATTCCATCCACATTTTTCCCCTCGGCGACGCGGTCTCGCGCGTACAAATTCACCTCGCACACGCTTACGCTCCCGCTCTCGCTGCCGACAGCCACCGGGGGTTTCTGAGCGCAACCATCGAATCACTTCGCTTTTACACTCATATGCAAAACGGCCTTTTTGCACGCGATCCTACTATATTGAATAAACACATTGAAGAACTTGGACCTGCAGCTGTTTTTTACTTGGGACTCTATCTGTGGGACACCCTGAGACGCATCTTCGCTTAAACATTGGTCCTTCGAGCCGGATCCTCACCGTCGCCTTCCCTATAAGGAATCCAGCCTTCGAGCATCGGCGCTTCGACATCACCACCAGAGGATCCTAAGATAAGTACGACTTTCGTGTGCCACAAATCCCTTCCATTCGCGATTTGTGTTTTAAATTTTCGCAAAGTCCGATTTCCGCGATATGGGTAAATTCTTATATATGTACTTATTTCTTCTTTCTGTGCCATCCGTTTTCCGTGTCGCTTCTTTCCTTTCGACACCGCCACATTATCGGCGATTTCGGCCGTTCTTCGTTCCTTAAACTCCAACTACCAGTGGTACGGTAGTTTTTCAATTCCGTTTTGTCTGTGCATTAATTGTGACAATAATTAAAAGGAAAAATATTCAGCTAGTGCATTAAAGCTCACAACAACAACTCCGCAGCTGATCTCCAATTATTCAAATTCCAAATACATACAACCATACATACGCACATTCCGCAAGTGCATTTGATAAAAAACCCACCCCAATAAACATATACCTTGGCACACTCCAAGTGCAAGGAGAATATAAATAAAGTGTTTTAATTTCATCCATCTACATATAAATTTATTTCCATAGTTGGCGGCAATATATTTATTTGTATTGCCAACTATATACATACAGTTGTGTTCAATGAAATAGTAGTGCCGCACCTCATCACTTTCAAAACCCTTTTTGAGATATTTCTAGTCTTTCAAATTGAACAAGTGATACCTTTACGGAAAGCCTGGAATGTAAGCATTAGAAACTTGAAGAAACCCCATTACATTTGCATTCTATCTTCTTGTTATTTATGACTTTAGACAACTACCCATGATATCTGCTGTTCAATGAAATAGTAGTGCTGGGTTAAATTTAGTTTTAAAAATAAAAAAAACAAAGCAAATTAATTTAAATAAGTCACCATCCGTAAGCTCAATTTGGTTATTGAATAATTTGATGAAAGAAAGTTTTGGACATAGCGGTACTTTTGATTTCGAGGCGTTGAAGAAATCATTTGCTCGGTCCAGAAGAGGAGATCTAAGAGTTAGACTAAAAACTTAAGGCAGGAGGTATAATGGGATTGAAAAATAAGTTGTAGGCACTCTCACTATTGTATTTAACCCAATTAACTAAAAGAAGTAGACTGGAAATCGATTTTGTATGCGAAAAAATTATTTTTTAGAGGATGGTCGGCGATGGTCGAAGGCAAGACCAGGCCTTTAATATCCTCAAAAATTATGAAAAAAATTTTAAATCGCTCTGTCAGTGATGTGACGGTTCTTAGACGGTTGATTACACATTATTTGAATGCAAGAAGTCCCAGAAAGCACCGCGTTTGGGTCTAAGAGTACATGGGTGCACGACTTCTGTTTGGAAAAACGCATGTGGAATGGCCTGTGTCACAGTGACAAAAATACTTTTGACTAAAGATAGTAAAGTTGTATTATATGGTAAGATAAACTCAAAAGATTATGTTTGGCATTCACAGAAATCCGGGCCTTATGGGGCCCAGCTCATATGAGCTAGTACTTTCTGGCCTGGCGTTTGAGTATAGTATGGTTTTGAGCAAAACTGAGGATGTAGGCATACTTTAGAATATATTACATTCATATTACAGTTGACAAAATTCCTGCTAAAAGGATATTTTAACCGGATAATGACTTGAAACACGCATAATATCCAACTGGATATTAATCTCATCGAAATCTTATGGGGGAATACCAAATACATTATTGCAACTGCAAATCCGTGAACCAGAGCCAAGGTTTAGCAAGTGGTTCATGGATTATTGGCTCAAATCCTATTGAAGCGTTGGCAAGAGATTAATGACCCATATCCGGCCGGTGCAAGTTCGAAATGAAAACCAAATTGATTAAAAACTAAATATTAAAGCTCAGGAAACATGAAAAACATGAAATATATGTTTTTATTTGAGATTCGTTGTTTTTTTCAATGTTTTAAAAAAACACTACTATTTCATTGAACAGCAAATTTCATGGGTATTCGGCTTATGTCATGTAAAACAAGAAAATGGAATTCAAATGAATTGACATTTCTTCGGTTTTCTAATGGTAACAGTCCAGTCTATTCAAAAAGGTATAATTTGTTCAATTTGGATAGCTGGAAGTATCTCAAAAAGAGTTTTGAAAGTGATGAGGTGCGGCACTACTATTTCATTGAACACAACTGTACATATAAACATAACGCACATACATAAAAATACTACACCCCGCATAAAAATACCGCACTCCATACTACCGAACATACTCCGCGCATAGTGGCTCTTTTTAATATACAAAGTCTGCGATTCCGAGCAATTTACGCGTTCCAGTCATACGTTTTGGTCGCCACACTATTGATTAGTATCTCCAAATACGCAAAAAATTATCCCCAACCAAGGCACGGCGCATTTTCCGTACTTATTTAACCCTTTACATCGCCAATTGTCGAATTGGTGTGTCGGGAGTGAGAGGTGGCGGAATCCAAAAATATCGGTATCGTAACCGAGTCTTGCGTTCATCCAAATAAATAAATACATAAAAAAAACCTTTCTCTCGTTTTCTAATTCTAAACCAACACAAGGACACTACAAGAAATAAATTGAACCATCCACAATTTATAATTTAAACCTTTTCGTCATCTTTTTTGAATTTTTTCTGTTTTCCTTCTGCATTTCTCCCGATAGTTTTCCAGCGCAACGTACAGAGCTATTTCGCCTCCAACACAAGTACCGTTCTTCTGGGCACGGCACTCATTAATATTTTCCACCTGGGGACAAATTTCCGGGCCCGTGCTCTGATCGACTCAGGCTCCGAGGCTACATTCATCACGTCTCTTCAACATCATTAAGCCACCGTTCGAAGCCATCCAGGCTCAAGTCGCAGGTTTAAACCAAACCGTAGCGGTTTAGGCGAAAAAGCGTTGCCACTTCCAGCTCGGGGCCGCCTCCAGGCCAGGACTCAAGATCGAGACTATGGCATATGTTCTGCCACGTCTTTAATGCCGACATCAACAAGATGTATCGCCAGATCCAAGTGGCTTCCCAACACTCGCTCTATCAGTGAATACTCTTTCGCGACCGTAACGGGGACGTGGGTGACTATGAGCTCACCACGTTCACTTTCGGAGTGAGTTGCGCACTGTTCCTCGCCCTTCGCGTCATCAAGCAACTTGCACAAGAGGTGCGCCCCCAGTTGCCAATGGCCAGCGACATCCTGGAAACCTACATGTATGTGGACGACGTGCTAGCTGCTGCTCACACTCAGTCGCAGGCGATTTCCGAATTACGCGAAGCACTCCGCAGGTTTTCCACTCCGAAAATGAACAGAAAACCATAACGGCGTGCTGCGCGACATTCCGGTCGACCACCTACTCCGAGCTGACTTCCTAGAGTAGCATCGATAAGACTTTGGGAATCCGATGAGGTCTTCTTTGCTCCTCCTAAATTAATCCAGCAGGAGTCCTGTACGAAGCGCAGTGTTCTCTCTCAGATTGCGCAGCTGTTCGATCCAGCGGGATGGCTTGCCCCCTTTGTCATCCAAGCAAAAATTTCCTGCAGGAAATTTGGTTAAGAGAGTTAGGGTGGGATGACGTCCTCCCTAGCGATCTGTCGCAAACCTGGGAGACGTTCCTGAGAAGTTTTCCGGCCATCCAAGATATCCACATTCCGCGGTGGTTGCACATTTTTCCGATGGCCAAGGTACAGATACATGGCTTCTGCGACGCGTCTCAACGTAGCTATGGGGCAGCGATTTACATCCGAGTTGAGCGACCGCAGGGCATTGTCTGTACCCTTCTCATAGCCAAAACCCGCGTGGCCCCCGTGAAAACGGTCTCCTTGGCCATCCTTCCTTAACTGCCACTAGACACCAGCCAGGTGTCCTTGTGGCCTGATTCGACCTGTGGGCTAGGACCCACAGACCTGGTCGGAAGTGACATGTGGTGGCATGGCCCTGCTTGGTTGCTTGGTCCGCAGTCGGAATGGCTATGTAAACGGGACTCAGTCCTTGAGACTGACCTGGAGAATTGAGCCGTCAAGGTGCACCATGCCACCAGCAGCGCCTCAGATATCCTCAGCCGTTTCTCCGAACTCGGGCGCGCTCTGCGCGTGATCGCCTGCGTTCGGCGGTTCACCCAGCGGGTTAAAGGGCAGTCAACCCAGGTCTCCGAGGAGCTAAACGGAAAAGAGGTCGCTGCCGCTCTCCAAGCTGTCACCGTAACAACCCAACGCTTCAATTATGCGGAGGAACATCGGTGCCTCATAAACAAGCAGCCACTCCCGGCCACGAGTTCTCTCCAGAATCTTAATACGTTCCTTGACCAGATCGGAATCATACGAGCATGTGGCCGAGTCCAAGCCTCGGCGTCCATGTCCTACAACGAACTGCATCCGATCCTGCTGCCTCCCGCATGTCTCTTGGCTCGATTCACCCACCACATAGCCCTACATGGTGGGAACCAGCTGGTCATCCGCCTTATTCGGGCAACATACTGGATCCCTCGACTACGTCACGTAGTCAGGGCTGTGATCCACCACTGTAAGGTTTGCGTCATCCATCGCAAGCGACTCCAAACCCAACTAATGGGCGACCTTCCTGCCTCAAGTGTCACATTCTCCAGGCCGCTCACATACACCAGAGTCGACTTCGCCGGTCCCTTCGATGTCAAAAGCTTCGCAGGGCGCTCATGTCGCATCTCTGGCTGTGGACCTTCTCGAGGCCATTCGCACTCGGACCTCTGCGGTGTACAGCAGGGGTTGTCGTGGCGGTTAATCCCTCCAGTAGCCCTACATATGGGGGTCTTGTGGGAAGCGGGGGTGGGAAGCGGGGGAAGCAAGGCTCTGTTCCAATGTTCGATGTGCCCAGGCCACTTCCTGATTGGTGGGCCGCTTCTCTCCGTGTCGGAACACGAAATAAAAGCGAGCGCCTCCTCCATCCTAAGCCGCTGGCAACATCTCAAGGCCCTCAACCGAAAAGCATGCACCATGCGCCCGATCATTTCTGCCAGCAAACTCAAACTCAAAACCTCAAACTCAAACGTACAACCCGAAAGCTCTGAGCTGAGCAGCGGCCTGCGCGCCCGACTAGAGTAAGAACTTAGAGCTTAGAATAAAATCAGTGTCACGAATAAACGTAACAAAAGCAGACGCACGCGCACCTTTTTACTTTCGGCAATACATTTTTTTTGTAATATTTCCCTTTCCAACTTACTTGCGAGCCTCCCCCCACGATCATTGGTCCTTCGAGCCGGATCCTCATCATTGGATTTTTTTTATTTTTCACCGACAAAAATCACGGAGATCATCCCCCCAATCCGCTCGCCCCAGCTTGCTCAAGAGGAATTGCCAGCTAAGTATATAAAAACCGTCCAATTTGCAACCAACAAGGTTCTGTGAAGTGTATAGTGTGTGGAGAAACTCCATAGGGAAAAAGTGCAAGTGAAGACGAGAAAAAACCGCTATTTGTTTCCCTTTTTTTCCTTTCCAAACGTACTGGCATATGTACATATCGGCCTATTTCCATATATATAACCTCGCCATCTTTTTTTTCGCCAAAAATCGGACAAGTGCAACGACCCATCAGGCGCACATATGTACGTACTAATTAATATACATAGGCACACGCTGATCTCCGCTAATTCCATTCCGCTTAGAGAAGCACTGCATCGAACCTAGTGCATCGAACATGTTGGATCGCGACTAGGGTGGCGAACATACATATGCACATACATACGGTTTTTTCTCTTTGGCGCTCTCGTCTCTTGCACTGTACGCACATATGCATAATCCGCACAAGTTATTTTAAATAAGAAGCAAACAAAAAAAATTCATAAAATAAAATAACGTTTAAGTGCATGTACATAGTACCACCTTTTTTGTAGGTGTACTTTATGTTTTTGTTCCTTTTCCTCCGCCAAAACTAACTCCATTCACCCAATCACCTTATATTATTTAAGTGCATGCTACATCCATTTAATACTTCAGCAATTTTGAACCATCCGCAGCCTTCCATAAAATAAAATATACACAGCGTTTTTCTTCTATTAAAACAAATCATACCACCTATATAAAACACCTTACATACACGCATATCCACACAGTACGGGATCCGCTTCAAACATTTACATACGTACATACATACATACCGCGAGCTTACCTTACAGCAGCTGCTCCATTCCTCTTTGTGCTTATGGTGATGCCCTGTACGACGCGGGTATATAGTTTTCATGAAAAGGTACGGCACTTGGGACATTTCCAAATATTTATTATTATTATTATTTTTTTTTGCCCCAATAAATTTTTGTTGGCAATCGTGAACCTCTTTGAACGTTCCATTCCACTGTTCCGGGAGGAATAATAATACGAATTCGAAGAGGGCTTTGCAAAAAAAAAAAAACTAAACTAAAACTTTGTGCCAAGTACTTTTGGGTGAAACTCCATAAATATCTCACTCGAACGGTACATGTTCCATTCCATCGTTCCAGAATTTTTGGTACATATACAATATAACTACAAAATATAATTGTACCATAATAACCTCTCGTTTTTCCAAATTATTGCTCTCATACCATCTCCGTTTCGTTTCCACCGTTCCACTTTCATACGCGTCGCTGATAGCTTATTATGTCCAGTGAGCGCGACGCGAAGAAACGCCTCACAGTTCCAAGCACGCGACCATCGCCACATTCCAAGACTCCATCGTCCTCCGTTAGGAAAGATCCTTCGGGTTCATCGAAAGACGAATCCAAACTTACTCCAGTCAGCATTACTCGCGCCCTGGGACAAAGACTTGCGGAGGTCAAGAGAATGGCATTAGCGGACTTTATCGCGGCATCAGACCGTCTCGGCAGTTTCGAGGCGAGGCTCGCTACTCCATCCTCTGTGGTGGATCCGCCTAGACGAAGTGAGGACCTTGTGGGAAAAGGTACGGCTAGAGTGCGAGCGTTGCACCAAGGCTCTCAGTGAAACTGAACCCGATGGTGATGCTATGCAATCCATGCAAGCCAAATATGAGCATTGCTACTCAGTATATGAGAGGTGCGCTACAAGCCTACAGGAGCAAATCGAGAGCGCTTCGGCTCCCCCCCGTTATCCACCCCTAGCTCTCATCAAGGAGGCTATAGTCGTTATTTAAAGTGGCCCACTTTCCGCGATCTATTTTCCGCAATCTACATAAGCAATCCAAGACTGACTCAAGTGGAGATGCTATATCACCTCTGCCACAAGACTCGTGGTGAAGCCAAAGTCATTGTTGAAAAAGCTCCGCTGACGAACGAGGGTTTCAATTCCGCATGGACACCCCTGAAAGAACGTTTCGAGAACAAGAGAACTCTTGTCAACAGCCAACTAAGTATCCTATTTAGTTTCTCCCCTATCCAAAATGAATCCGGGGCCGCTTTAAAAGAGCTCCAAAGTGCCATCCAGGGATGCCTCACGGTCTTAGAACACTCAGAGGTGCCCATTGATAATCGGTTCGCGGACGGCGTTCTGGTGTTTCTGGTTTCCTCAAAGTTGCCGAAAGTGACCTTGTCTCTTTGGAGCAAGAGCGAGATACCGTCGTGGAGCGCCATGAACAAATTCCTGAGTGAGCGATATTTATCTCTCGAAGCAATGGAGAACGCGAATGCCTCCATGCAAGCGCTTTCCAGGCCCGAAAAAAGGGAAAAGAACGGGAAAAAGGTAAATTCTTTTGAGGCAAAAGTAAGCGCCGACCTCCGCCAAAGCTCCGTCAAGATTCGCACCTGCAGTCTTTGTTCCAAAGAAAACCACCCGGTGCGCCCACGCTTTCTCCAAATGTCAGCTCATGATCGAGCAGACTACATCAAGCAGCAAAAGCTATGCATGAACTGTTTTGCAAGAGGGCACCAAATAAAAGAGTGCACAAGTCAGCATAATTGCTTCACGTGCAAACGTCGCCACCACACGCTTCTGCACCGTGGCAGCCCTCCTCCAGATCCCTCTACCGCAGTTCCTCCCAAATCAAACCCAATTCAAGACATACAGTCTACTCCATCCTCCAATGTCCAAAGTTATTACACAGCAAACACACAAGGTGTTCTGCTAGGCACGGCTATAATAAACGTGTGCCACTTGGGCACTAATTATAAAGCTCGTGCGTTGATCGATTCTGGGTCAGAGGCGACGTTCATCTCAGAGCGCCTCTTCAGAATCATCAAGCTTCCGTTTCAACCAGTTCAAGTTCAAGTTGCGGGCCTGAACCAAGCAAGCGCCGCCAGGCTTCAAAAGATATGCCACTTCCAAATCGGCTCCCCATCCAAACCGAGGGTTCATGTAGAAACCTCGGCATTCGTACTTCCAAATGTGGCAGGCGCCGTACCCTCGTATCCAATTCCGCAAGGTTTCATAAAGGACCTGCCAAATCTTCCATTGGCTGACCCTTCTTTCCACAAAAGCTCGCAGATAGATGTGCTCCTAGGTGCAGATATCCTTCCATCCATTTTGCTTGGCGGCTCTCAACACAACATTTGCGGATCACTACTCGGCCAAGAGACCATTTTTGGATGGATCCTTACCGGACCAGTAGCTGAGTCAACTCGCACCTCAATCTCTCATTTGCTACAAGGATAAATGTCAGCGCAGAACAGCGTTTAGAAAACCTTCTAACGAAGTTTTGGGAGGTGGAGGATCTTCCAGCCAGTCGGGTTGAAGATTCTTCGGAGTCTTTCTGCGAGGACAATTTTGTTCGAACCACCCGTAGAGATGCAAGTGGCAGATATACGGTGTCGTTGCCCTTTCGGAATCCCGAATGCATAAACTTAGGGCATTCAAGATCAATTGCGCTAGCTCAGTTCCTAAAAAACGAAAGTCGGTTGAAACGAAACGTTCCGTTGAAAGAGCAGTACGATCGAGTCCTCCAGGAGTACCTAGACTTAGGTCATATGCGCCAAGTGCCACCAAGCAACGATTCCGATAACTTCTATCTGCCCCATCACGCTGTCCAAAAGCCGGACAGCACCACTACAAAATTGCGGGTAGTCTTTAACGCCTCCAGTAAGTCCTCGAACGGCAACAGCTTAAACGATATGCTTCATCCAGGACCTGTTCTCCAATCCGATCTGACCATTCAGATACTGAAATGGCGATTCTTCCGATATGCCTTTGGTGCTGACATCACAAAAATGTATCGGCAAATTACCCTCGACCCTTCGCATACAAGATTCCAACGAATTCTGTCTAGGAATAAAAATGGCGAGCTCTGTGATTATGAGCTCACCACTGTTACTTTCGGGGTAAACTGCGCTCCATTCTTGGCCATTCGTGTGCTGAAGGACCTTGCGCAAGAAGTCCTAAAGCGATTCCCACTGGCAAGCGACATCATATCCAATTCGATGTATGTCGACGATGTGCTTGCGGTGCCCACACAATACAAGGTGCAATAGCATCTATAAAAGAGCTTCGCGCTGCACTTGACGGTGCGGGTTTTCCGCTGAGGAAGTGGACTTCGAATGCAAAGCCGGTCCTCCAAGACATTCCTACGGACCATTTACTGTGTGCCGATTTCCTTGAGATGGAGGACTCTAGTTCCGCGAAGACCTTAGGTATACGGTGGCAGGCGGATAGTGATGAATTCTTTTTTCGGCCATCCGGGGTAGCCATAAGCTCCTCTTACACAAAAAGAGAAGTTCTATCCCAAATATCCAAATTATTCGATCCAGCAGGATGGCTGGCTCCCTTCATAGTCCGAGCAAAGATCTTTATGCAGGAAATCTGGCTTAAAGAGCTCGGGTGGGATGACTCTCTGCCAAAAGACCTCCTCACAAGATGGCAGGACTTCCTCCTTAGCTATCCTGCTCTTCAACAAATTCGCATTCCGAGATGGGTGCAGTATCACCCTCGCACGAAACTACAATTTCATGGGTTTTGTGACGCATCCCAGCGCGCTTTCGGTGCTGCCATCTACGTTCGTGTAGAGAGGGACAACCAGATCTCCGTCCATCTACTAACAAGAAAGACGAGAGTTGCTCCTGTGAAGACCGTGTCTTTACCACGCTTGGAATTGTGTGGGGCCGTTCTTCTCGCTGAGCTGTCCTCGTCTCTTCTTCCTCAACTTTCCCTTGAGAGCTACGAATGCT